CCTGAGTGTGGGGCAGGTGAGATTCCTCTAGAGAAAATAAGGGTGTGGCTGCCAGAAGAGAGAAACCAGTACTGAAGGGGGAAATACCACTCTAGTCTAATGTGATAGGGTGTAGAATGAATTTACTTCAGTGTTATACATAAAATTACACATAGTATTTTTAGAATATATTTGATACTAATACATAGCTGTATTGATTACATGTATTTGTACATGTAAGTCTTCTGTCTCACAACTAGATAATAAAGCTCTTAAAAGACAACACTTGTCTTAACATCTGTTGGAAATTCCAAAATTGAGTATAGCGCCTCCACATGGTAAGAACTTGTAAATATTTTGGATGCTGCTGAAATAGCAGTTTCCTTCTAGCAATCCTTATTGTTGGTGGCAGATACTTCTCAAGCTATATCACTCAGTGTTCGTGCAGGTTAAGTACACACAGAGGCAAAAAGAGAACACCCTGGGCAGCATCCTGTAGTTCAGAGCTTGTAAGATGTGTGAACCTGGTACATAAAACTTAGTGCCCCCAGAATGTGCTTTATGGGCTTTTGAGGACCAGATTAAGTAAAGAAAAAAATTCTTCTTAATGCCAAGTACTGGTTCTAGTTCAAATGAAATTTTGTTGTGGCCTTTAGGCAGCTATGTCAGACATATCTCAGTTTTTGAACCATTTGATGTCCAAACATCAAGAGTATGTTTAAAAAAAAACCTGACAGGAAAAAAATCCTCATAGAACTTCCTGTGACAGTTCAGAGTGTAATCACAGCAAATAATACAGATTTCCCTTTTATTGTAACCACAATAGAAAGGCAGTGCTTGTGTTTACAAAGCATGTTGTTGGGGAGACCTTTGTAAATTGTAATCTTTGGAAATCCCAAACCTATTGGATGTAATCCCATCCTTTAGATGGAAGCCTGTGTAGTAGATCCCAAATAGCAAGTTAAATTGAGAACATGAACAGGAAGCAGTCATTAAGAATTACAATGGGTAGGATACAGAGTTAATTCGGGGAGATATTTTGTTATGAGATAATTACATCACTAGGACAGCTGGAAAGCTGAGCACTGTGCTGGACTGCTGTGCCTGTTCTCTGCCCTGCAGCTGGAGGGTCAGGACAATAGAGACAGCAAGAGAACTTACTTTATGGGATAGTCAGAGGCTTGGCTGACTTAATTGTGAACCGATAATGACCTATCTGCCTGGTTTGGATTGCATTTGCACAGCTACACAGGGTGCATGGCCTTAGTAAATGCTGAAAACATCTTTTTACTCCTCCTTTTTGAAGAAACCTTCACTTGCATCACGCTGAAGCTGTAATGGATACATTTGAATGATAATTCTCCTGAAAGTAATCTGAGAGATATTCTATTCATATTCCATTGTGCTTACATTTTTCTCAGGGAAGTCCAATCATGTAGTCATTGAAATGGTATTTTTGCCAGCTTACTAAATAAACCAGCAAAAAAAAGTTTTAGCGAGGCATAAAAATGTTGGTCAACACAGGAATCATACAATAGAAGTTATTCTCCAGTGTTGTGTTCAAATGTTCAGACCTGCTCGGCTTTTTGGTTTTGCAAGTATGTGGGTTATAGGCAGCCTATAATTCTTCACTGATTTATATACATATGTACTGTTAACCTCCAGCCAAATACCAGGGATTTCAGTTCTTGTCCCGCTCAGTTGCTTTTTATGAAACTTATTTGTTATATTAAAGTGTCTGTCTTATCTCTCACCAATATTGCTATTATTTGACTTGGGGTAATTCTAGAAGAAGTCATAGATGAAAAGCATCGTAAATATTCTAATAGTTACAGCTGTTGTCTTGAAGTGCATTTTCTACCCACTGACAAATATAACTGTTAGCCTTTATTACAAGAATATTTACTAAAAAATTTAAGTCAAACAAAATTTCATACTTTATTGAAGAACAGTATTTCCTAAATGTCTTCTCCAAGGTGATGGGTCTATAGGATGTGACTGGCTAGCTTTGGCGCCAAAGCAGGGAGCGCATCTTACAGTATTCTTAGGACTTTTACTTGATGCCCTTGTAAATTTCTAAGTGAAAGTAATCTGTGCCACTTCCCAAATGAAATTAATAATAATAATAATACCTTAAAAATTAAAAAGATTACCACCTTGAAACTGGACCAGCAACTTCTGCCTGACACCCTTCTTTTTGTAGCCTAAAAAATACATCCATTAAAATTCATACAGTAACACTCTACTCTGTGTACTCTTTGTGCATCTCTTTAAAATGCATCCTACTTTACCTATAGAATGACTGCTTTTTTCCCAAGGTTAGTCATTTAAGTTAATTAGCAGTGGCACATGTCTTGAGCATACTTTGAAAGTTACATATGGAGTCCATTTAATCCGGGTGGCATCAGTGAATCTATAACTTAGAGGAAAACCACTTGGGTGAGTTAGTATTAGTCATGAATTTTGTCATGCTGAGAGTGCTTGAAAACCGTTTCAGTGAGATGAGGCAACAGCATGCTGCCAGGGCTGTTAGGTAACTTCTGAGACAACAGTTTGGGGAACAGGTGACCTTTTGATTCCCCAGTGTTATAGGATCATTTCATTCTCCCATTATGTACTCATCACCATTTCTTTTATTTTAGAAATTGCCAAAATGCCTTACATACATTATAAATGCAGTAAGAACCAGAGTTGCTAAAATCATTACAGACTGATAAGCAATGTATTCTTGTGTTAATTATAATGACATGTTCTTTAAAGTCATATTTGAGAAGCTTAACTGTCATGTACATATAGTATGACCATTTCCATGTTTGTATTTGATTTAGTATATGTCATTTTAGGTTGTTGCTCTTTTATCGCAAATATACTAGTGGCGGATACAAAGAAGTTCTGTAATTTTAGAACTCCTTTTTCTCCTTCAAAAGGAAGAAAAAGTGAAATTATCCAAGAATGTGTATTTAATAGGAATAATATAGCTCAAAGAAGTCTATTAATAAATGGTAGTTACCTCAAATTGTCAAGCTCAAAGAATTATTCTGATAAACTTTCCAAGTGTTAAATTCATGCATGATAGCAATCATACGTTTCATAGTGTATGGGGCTTACATGATTTATGGCACTTTCTTTAATAAATTTATTAATTAGGAGTTTTCACCTTGTCAGAATAATTTTCCAGAATAAGTCAACAGGGGATAATACCAAGTTTACAAATAGCTATAAAAACATAAAATCAGAATATCTGAAAGGAGATAAATGTGAGAGGAAAAATCAGTTGATTTTGGTTGGTTTTAATGTAGTTGTAGAATTCACCCCAAATTGCCCATAGTTGAACAGTAATACTTTAGGTCTGGCTGTGACATATAGATACTCATTGGTATTCTGTTGTTTGCCCTGCCAGATGTAAATTAATTAGAGTGTTCTTCAGATTTCTTTTAAAATTAGTTTAGATTCACAGAGAGGTACCAGATGTTATAGGCCCCATAGCCCAGAAATGTAGGGTGGCATGGCGAGCCTACCAGGTCATTGAAAACTTAACGAAAGTAATATACAAACTGGACCCCTGGACAAGTGAGTTGTGAGCCCTGCTTGTAGTAACTGGGCTGCATGCACATATACAGTTAATTTCTTTGAGGAGGGTTTTTATTTCGTATTTTAATGAAAAAAATATTATGACTAGCATTTTACTAGGTTTTTCTTAGTATTTATATTGCTTTTTTTTTTTTTTGGTACCAGGGATCGAACTCCAGACCTTGCATTTGCGAGGCAGGCGGTGGAACCACTGTGCTAAATCCCCGGCCCTTATATTGCATTTTTTAAAAGAACTTTTCTTACAGCTTGTTTGTGGCTGGTTTAATTCTTCAAACATTTGGTGAGAATCTCTTCTGCCAGATAGTGTGATATGGTTGAAACTAAAGGACATTTTGTCCTTTGGCTTGAAAATTCTTTTGACTACTGAAGGCTGTCTTTGTTTGTTTGTTTTTAAAACTTAAATTTTGAATCATTTATAAGATCTCATGACCTCACTGAATTGGCCAATCCAAACTTAATTATAATGTTTGTTAATTTGTTTTTTATCACACAAGAGCAACATAGTTTACCAATGCAGTTTTTCCTTCCCCTAAAAAAGAAATTTAAAAATTTTATTGTTTACATTGTGAAATGATTTAATAAAGCTAGTTAATAAATCTTTCACATTACTTATAATTTTTCTGGTAAACTCCACTTTCAGCAATTTTGCAATTTATACTGCATTATTTGTTAGTCACCATTCGGTGCAGTAGTTTACCAAAAGAGCAAAAAAAATCACACTATATCCCGTAAGTGTATACAATTATAATCTGTCAAAAATAAATTTTTAAAAAATCTTTAGAATTTTTCAGTATTGGTTTTAACCTGACATTGGGAATTTTAAAACCAATTTAAGAACGTATGCCCTTTCCGGAGAAAGAATAATTTGATTCACTAGAAAGAGAAAGCTGCCTTAGAACTTCACAGGCCTCTACCTCACATTTCAGGAAAATCTTCATTGCAGAGTCCAAAAATGCTTAATTTATCTGGAATAATTCTCAAACTTCAGCCAAGAAGAAGCATATTTTGCCTGGACTGCAACTTTTTAAAACTATTTTCAGGGCCGGGGATTTAGCTCAGTGGTTTCGCCGCCTGCTGCACAAGCGCAAGGACCGGAGTTCCATCCCCGGTACCAAAAAAAAAAACTATTTTCATAAACAAGTTCAACCTAAGGTCTACACTAAGGACACTCTGCAGCTAGATGTTTGGTACTTCAGTCAGCTTGCTTTAGGTGCTCTCAAACCAAGTGTTTCACTTGTGTTCCTCTCCTGAACTTTCATGTTGATATAAAGAAGCAAATCCCTGGGTGTCTTTGCATAGATCACAACCGGAATGGTAGACACTGGCTCTTTTTTTTTGTCCTTGTATGTGATGAAATCGAGGGATATGTGTAAGACATATAGACTACTTTTTATTTCTACCTACTTAATCTCCTTTTTTTTTCCTTCTAGGTTGTTTGATGTGTGCACAGTGTCACGGACAGACAGGGAAACCAAACTAACACTAGTATTTGAACATGTTGATCAAGACCTGACCACTTACTTGGACAAAGTTCCCGAGCCTGGAGTGCCTACTGAAACCATAAAGGTACCAAGAATCATGTTTCTGCCTAGTTAGGCAGTCAGCACCGTAGTCTGTTAAGCAACGGCTTTCTTTTCTTATGAAAATTGCCAGAATTACAGCTTTTAGAACTCAATGTATGAAGTATCAACTCAGTAAAATATTCAAAGAATGAGACGTATTCTAGCTTATCAACTAACGGGTATTCAAAGAATGGGATATATTCTAGGTCATTAATTTCATATTGAAGTAAAATAACCCTTCAGTTTTAATGCCTATTAAACTTATATTAAAATAACTATTTGTACATTATCTGGTTCTAACCTTAGAAAGTATAGTGTAGTAAATATAGATCAATCATTTTCTGTTGGTGTATTTCTCTAAGGGGCATTGAAACATCTGTCATGATCGTGTTGTATATTATAACTGTACACTGATTTGGGGCCATTATTTCTCATGGATAAAATGTTACAGGAAGCCTAAGTGCAAGGTTATATGCCAATGATTGTTAATCTTGATTTTCAACTAGATTGTCTTGAGAGATACGTAGGAGATTAGTAAAACACACATTTGGGTGTGTGTAAGTAGGTCACGGGGGATGTGACCATGGGGATTACATCTAGTCCTGAACCACTTCATTTCTGGACTCTTCCCCTGCTCTCTTCTCCACTGACATGAGTTGAACAGATTTCCTCCACATGCTCTTCCACCATGATGTTTCTACCTTGGAGCCAGCTGACCATGAACCGAAACCTTTGAACTGTGAGCCAAAATAAACCCTTTCTCTTTTAAATTGTAATGTCAAGTATTTTGTCCCAGCAACAGAAAAGTGACCAAATACTGCCAGACTCTTGGGATTCAAAAATGATTAAGATTTACTGTTTGTCCTTTGAGGTCAACAAGGTAATGTAGTATATTGGTTTTTAAATTTTTCTTAGTACATGTTTGCATTATGTAATGATTACATTCATCATAGGGAGTTGGTACATGTATATAACACATCTTAATTCTTTCTAGTCTCCTTCTCCTCCCCAACCTCTTACCTTCAGAACTCCATCTCTTGATCCTCTTCCAATTTGCAAAAATGCTATCTCCTTGTTTCCTATTATCTATCTTTTATTTTGCTTTTTAATTTATTTATACTATAAATATATTTATACAGTTTATATTCATATAAGAGAAACCATGAGATATTTAAGCTTGTGTGTCTGATTTATTTCACTTAACATTGTGGTGTCAAGGTGCATCCATTTTCCCAAGAATGATTCAAATACTTCCTCAAGGCTGTTGGAGAAAGCTGCTCATAAAGTTTTTCTGGTTTTACTTCTATTCTACATAACTGAATTTCCCAGACCTTTTAAATGTTTTCACATTATGTACAAGTCTTCATGGCCTTTTTGTCTGAATTAGGTAGCTTATTTAAGCATACTCCATACTTTATCATTCATGGCTTAGAAATGAATTTTAAAATTCGGTATCATTTTAGATAGAAAGTGGTGGAAGTAGTTAATTTTCACAGCAGCAATGTTGTAGGAGAGGGACCTCTTAATGTTAAGTATTTCTAATCATCTGTTGGCCCTTTTTTCTGTCTGCACCGCTCTTCTCTGATATTCTATTTCATCCTTATAGCTTCATTTCTTTCCTTTATAAGCTTGTCAGAAACCCTGTGTTCACCAGGTAAAGCAGGGTCTCATTCTCTTTTTATTTACTCTATTTTCTGACCAAATTTGAACTAATCAGTGTTCTCCTAGAGTAGCCTGTGTCTTCCCACCTCAATGGCCCTCTTTCTTGTGCTATTTCTTTTCCTCTCTCTCCCATCAATAACTATGTGCGTAACTTTCAAGGCTTACCCAGATACCATTCAATCAGTTCTTACAGTTTCATGTTAGCTCATTTGCCTTATATCACTTATTCTACATATAGTTACTTCTTCATCATGTTTCTGCCTTGAATTGATTACTCGTGTACACATCTTATCTGTGTATTCATCCCTGTATCCTGACCATGCGGTACAGTGATTTATACACATAAGCACTCAGTGAATAAGACATTGCCAAGCTTTCTTCAGATAATTATTTTCAAAATTACTTCCAGCAGCTTAAATATAGACTACCAAAATAATCATTGGCTTTTTCTGATACATTTCTAATTTCAAAATTATTTTTGACCTTGTCATTTTTTTAAAGAACAAACAAGCTAACCATATGTTTATATCATACATTGCCCCCTCCATAGATTTTTCTGAGCCTCACATTGAATTCTTCTAGGATACCAGAGGCTGCTAAGTGGAATCATTTTCTAAAGTATCTGTGCAGTTAAGATGACTGATAAGTCATAGTGGTCTGCTAATGAAACCTTGGTCAGACAGAAATAGAGATGAAGTGGATGGGGAGATTCTCAAGGCAGGGTGTGGAGAGGAGGTCAGCATAGAACTAGGAACAGGCAGGAGGCAGTCTTCCGAGTGGGGCAGAGAGAGTAGGGAACTAGCTCAGTCCACTGGGGCCTTTGAAGGGGATGGGGGAGGATGCTTACCCCAGGCTTTTAAACAAAGAGACTTGTTAAAAGGTTTTGTTCATTTTTTCTTCTTGTCAGACTTTGATAAAGTAAATTAAGGGGGTAGGCCTAAACTGAACACTGTTGTTGAGACCTTCATAAGAGTAAAACAAAATTATAGGTAGTTCTTTTCAGCGCTTTTAAAAATACCATATTCTGGGCCAGGGATTTACCTCAGTGGTTCTGCTGCCTGCCTTGAAAGCGGAAGGTCCTAAGTTCAATCCCTGGTACCAAAAAAAAAGCGTATTCTAAAAAGACAGACATAACATGTACATTTCTTCCTTTCTTCCTTCCTTCCTTCCTTCCTTCCCTAGGGTGGGCAGTTTGGTGGGAATTGAACCAGTGGCATGCTGAGCTAAATCTACAGCCCTTTTTATTTTGAGACAGCATCTTACCATCAAGGCTGGCCTCCAGCTTGCCTTGTGGTCCCCCTTCCTCTGCCTCCCTAGTAGCTGGTTTTACAGGTATGCATCATGACACTCCACTTTCATCTCTTTTCTGATGTCCTTAAAGGGTCTATCCGTTCTTGGTTGGTCATGACACTGGCATAAAGGAGCCTGCTGACTGCTGTACTGTGAAGTCAACAAATGTTCTAATGTTGCTTCATAGGTTTATCATGAGCATATCTGGCTTTCTTTTTCCTTTTTCTATTAGTGCATCTTAGTTATACAGACTAGGGGTTTCATTTTGGCAGATTTATACATGCATAAAACATACTTTGATCACCCCCCCATTACTCCTTTCCCACTTTCTTCTTTCTCCCCATCCCTTCCTCTTCTAACAGTCTCCTACCCCCTACCCTAGATTACTTATATGAGAAACAACATGCAATATTTGACTTTTTTTTTTTTTTTTTGGCTATACCAAGGATTGAACCCAAGGCCTTTGCACTAAGCTGTATCTCAAGCTCCCTTTTCCCTCTTTTTATTGAGACAGGGTCTTGCTAAGTCAATAAGTTGCCCAGGCTAGGCTCGACCCTGGGATCATCTTCCCTCAGCCTCCCATGTGCTTGTATTAACAGGCATGTGCCATCACACCTGGCTGCAGTATTTTACTTTACTGAATCTGGCTTATTTCACTTCACATGATAGTGTCCATTTCCATCCATTTTCTTGCAGATGACATGATTTGTTCTTCTGTATGGCTGGATAGTATTCTGTTGTGTGTACATACCACACCTTATTCCAACCATCCATTGATGGGCACCTGGGCGGTTTCTATAGCTTAGTTGTTGTGAACTGAACTGCAATAAACATGGCTGTGCAGCTACCTGTATGGTACACTGCCTTTAATTCTTTTGGGAAATGCTAAGGAGTGGTAGAGAAAATAGCTCTATTTTTAATTTTTTTGAGGAACTTCCATACTGATTTCTATAATGACTATAATAATTAAAATTCTCATCAACAGTACTGAAGAGTTCCTTTTACCCTCACATTCTCACTGCTTTTTTTTTTTTTTTTACTTCTTTCTAATTCATAATATCTTCAGATCAGTTGGGGGGGGATTCAGTGCCATCTTTAATCTTTAAAAATCATTTGAGGTCTAATATTCTGTTATAGGATTTTCATGCTTAAATTTATGAGGTAATCAACATCTTAATGATTGTGTTATTTTTTTTTTTAAAGTTCATGGTAAATCTAGAGTATCTGCTTATATAGCACCTTCCATTTATGGGGGGCTTTATGGAAAAAAAGGCTTTCAGATTTTTATTTTTCTCTTTCATTCTTTTATCTGCCATCCTGTGAGAAAAGGTAAGAACTATAAAGGAAGGCAGGCATGGTGGCACACACCTGTAATCCTAGCAAGGCAGGAGAGTGAGTTTGAGACCAGCAGGTCAACACAGTGAGTTCAAGGTCAGTCTGAACTACATAGCCGAACCGTGTTTCAAAAAACAAACAAACAAAATATAAATAATTTTCTCACTATTTTCCTTAGTCATCTGTATGTGCTACTTAGAAGAACTATACAGTGAAATACATTGGAGGAGAGACTCTTATGTAAAATATTCTTCAGTTCAGGCATTCAAAATGGTATGCCCTCTTTTACTGAACCATTTACTGAATTCAGAAACAAAGCTTGCCTGTACAATAAATATATTATCTTTCCTAGGTAATGTCTGACTTCTCAACTATCTTATAAACTCTTTAAGAACCTACCTACTATCAATTCCTTGGACATTCTGTGCATGTAACACAGTTGATGTAACTGGCAGTATAATTTCACAAGTTTGAGGCACTGAAAGTTCACCCAGATCAGCAGTCTCTAAAATAGGACAGAACCCGTTTAGCTCAAAACCATATGACCTCTTTTGATGATTCAATCTTGGGATAAAAATTATGTTTATATATCCCTGTGATAAATGAATTTTATAGAGCTTGAGAGAGCCAAAAAAGCTCAAGGTTTATGTATCTGTGTTGCTCATTTTCTCAGTGGATTAGATTTCATTTATCTTCAATTGAACATTTCTTAAGAGA